GGGGGTGGTAGTATTATACACAGGTTATTGGTGATTAGAATTTTCATGCTTTTTAATCTCAAAAAATTATGATCGTATTATACTCGATTTCGTATTATACATGAATAAATACAATATGCTGATTTATACATCCAAAATAGGCTTGAAGTAGGTATTTTTATTCCATATTCAGCGTAGACAATATCAGTGTTTCCAAAATTTTTCACAAGTTGTCTTAAAGGGGCTATATCATGTAAAATCAACTTTTTTTGAGTATTATATCATGTTATAATGTTATACTCTCATMAAAAACATGCCCAAAGTCTTGCTTTGACTCATCCATGCATGTTTGAGAAATCCTGCAGTGTCCTGAGGCAGCCAGGCAGGGGAGCAAATACGACAGGTTGGGACTAGAAACGCCTTTTGGGACTAGCTCCTCCTCTGGGCTGTGTCYCATTATGTCAGTGCAAAGATAGTTTTTGGCAGGAAAAATGTGATAAATCTAATCCAGCAATAAAAAATATATGAGAATAACAAATATAGTGGATGATTTAAAGGTACACAGTGCAGGAGCTTTGTGTTGTGTTTGCAGGGCGTACGATCACAAAGAGTGCCTTTTTCACTCTTCTATAAAAACATACAATCAGAACAATTAAAAAAAGTTATCATGCAAATCAAAGGCTAAAATCCAAAAGACTAGAAATCTTGGTAATGATCCTTATTGAACAACTGCTGAAAGTAAGGTGAGGAGGTTCAAAAGAAGCACAATATTTTACAGTTCACCTTCTTGTTGATTTTCAGGCTTTACTTTGAGATGAGACTTTTTAATGGCATCACGTCCCGAACTCTCAGCAGTAACTCTGAGTCCAGTTTTATTACCACTCCTAAACCCATAACTTGTTAAAGTGTGGCTCACTTTAAAATTGTCCSATGCCCTTTAAAAGAATGCAAGGTTAACAAATTTTCTAGCTACCTTCCCTTCTCTGATTCTACTACCTCCCAGTGGGGAAAGTGATCCCAGCACTGACCTTGTTGCTTGAGCAAGTGTGTGTTTATGTGTGTCAAAAGCACTTTACTCATGTAAATGAGTACAGCATGAGCTTGTTTTTATGTCAGCACAACGCCGCAACTCCACTCCCCTCTTTCTCACTCCTCCTCCTTCCCTGCCTAATTCCTTTCTTGGGTGTCCTACAGAAGGTAATTCATATTCATTAGTGATTATGTGAAGGATGATGTGTGCACTGAAGTGTGCTCTACCTGCCTGATTACCACTTAGAGGGCCCACTGGGGCTAAGGAGGAGGGCCACAGTAGGGAAAGGCCAAGGATGGTGAGAGGACAGACTGATGATGGGAGACTGGTGCGAGGCCAGCACAATGGATCATGATTGTAATTACAAGGGAGAGATTTCACCAGATAAGCAGAATTGTGCCCTGCATATGAGCATCAGGAGAGGAACCAGTGTGGCAGTAATCTGAAGTGAAGGTGATGGGAGATAGAAGAGCSGCAGACAGATGGAGAGGTGTGGGAGAATACAATGTGAGATGAGCAGCCTGGGCGCTTTGAGATACGCACGCACGCACGCACGCACGCACGCACGCACACACACACACACACTCGAGATGTTCAACAGTTTGTCTTTTGATTTGCCAGACTTTCTTGTAATCTTTTAAAGCAGTCTTAAGCAAATTTCTTTCTACATTTTTTCTTTAGTTTGTCAGGTTTTTATTTCACCATTTGATCACCCGCTGCCATGAAAAGCAGATGGGGCCTTTGTGTTTCTCTTTGTTTATTARTAAAATATCTCATGAACCAATGGATGGATTTTAATGACTCTATGGGAAAGTATAGATATAAGATATACAMYTATAACGGATTAGCGTTTAGAGTWAGCTCAGTTCAAGATGGCTGCCACAGCTMMGGTAATTGAGCTTAGCAAACACGAAAATGGCTACAAATGAGTCAGTTTGATGGATACTGAGCTAAACTTTTGTGTGGTAGTAGCTGAGAGTCATCCCCAACACATAGTCTTGGTTCTAACTGATTACCCAAGATCTTTGAATCTTTGCAMGGCAGCAGACTACTCACATCGTTTGAAGGAATTTTCCATTAGATTGATGTTTTGTTGTTTGTTTGTTTGATCCATTTAACTCTGTATAAATCATACAGGCATGAAAATACTTCTAAACTCAATGGATTAATCTGTATTGAATTCCTGTTTACACTATGCTGTTTTTAGGCAAAACCATTACATTTTTGTTGTATTTTGGTCATTTGTGAACACAACAACAGCAAYCATATTGACACAGAAACATTTTGAATCCAGGTAGCAGAGTATTTGGAAACGCCTGGCATCTGTGTGGAATTGCACATGCGCCCTATAGACAACTGCAGTCAATAGTTTTTCTGCACTTGTAGAAGACTTGTACTATTCATCATCTACTTGTAGTAGATRAATAGATTTGAGTAGAGCGCTGTTTGTTTACTTCTGACACAGAACATATATGYGCTACACCATCATTTGGGTCAGCAGAGATGCATTCCTTATTTTCTACAAATACTGAACAGGCCTGTAACCGTTTTAAAGGTTGAAACTGAAGTGTCTGGATGCATACAAGTGTWAAAATGCAAACTCACAGTGCCAACTAGTGACCTGGCATGGACACGACAGATTCAATGCTTTGCGGTCTTAACTAGAAAAYGATTGCGATCCCAGCCTTACAGAGTGAAAGTGTAATGTTTTTTTTCCTCAGCATTGGAAAATCTGTAACTTTCCTAGGAAATTGTTCATGTGTAAACAGGGTCATAAAAACATGACATTGACATTAAATCTTTAGGCTCTTTATAATGTTTTATTACCAGCAGCCTGTCACAAAGACAMAAATTGTGCCAATTTCTTTAGTTAAATCCAATGACAGACATAAAATAGTACTTTGGCAGAAACAAGAAGCACCCATTTCTCAGATCCTGTGGCAGGTATTTGCTGTTTATAAGACATAACCTTACAKTATTGATCATCTGCTGGACAGATGTTTTTTTTACATACACACTATGTGAGATATGTACCATATGGCTGCCTTAGTCAGGTACAAGGACGGGACTAAAAAATGTGTGGAAAAAAGCAGACAATGTAAAAAACACAAACTGTGAAAATCTGGAAAACGATTGATCTTTTAGAGATTACAAGAAAGTTTGGCTTCTTTGTACGGAATTATAAACAAATTAAAGATTATTTAAAATGTTTGCAGAGTAAAACAGGTCTGTGCGTGTCATACCGTAGGGACAGGGTGTAGTCAGGGCGGTTGGTCTGACTGTTCCTCACCAGGTAGCTGCACTCTTTACACAGCGTTAGCAGCGACTCCGCCTCCGAACGGGACAGTGAACCATGGTACCAGCTGCTGGAGCAAACACAACAACAATAAAATATGATATGATCTGGAAACACAACACATATTCCAACGTTTTATTGACACGTCTTAAAAAAACGAAACTCAAAACAGTCTCAAGCAAGACCATAAGGGAGTAATGGAGCATAATCACTTCATGAAGATGTGTTTATGTGTACAACATGGTGTGTCCTGCATCTGTGTTTAAGATGTGTTGTGTGCATGGGTTTCATTAACAAAACGGCCCTTTATGTGAGCAGAAGACAGCACATAAATTACACCAATGATGTTTGAAATTAAGACCAAAGTAAATGTGTGCCTTGAAAGCTTTGACTTAATTAGTTATCACTCTAACCTTTCCCAACTCTGCTCAGCTGAAACACATAACGACTTCATTTGAATATGTTCAAGTCTAAATAGATCAAAGCAGAGCAATAAAACTATACAGCTGTATCCGCCCTCACTTATTCATGACCACTTTTCTACAAATATTTGAGAAGTGTGTGCATGTAGGCAATTCAAAAACATTAGGAGCCCACTATTACCAAATTTGCATGCATAAATAGTTGCATAACAACAGTTAGTTTGATGGTTTTAAACACTTTGGCCCTGTTTACACGTAACCAATCTCTGGAAACCAGTGGTGGGCACCAGCCTGCTAAAGCACAAATCCGCTAATTGCGGACCTAAATATTTCGTTTGCTCTTTAGCGGTCTTACAAATTTTTATAATTCATAAGTTAATTTGCGCTTTCTAAAATTAAAATGCAGTACCGCTAATAACTAATTATCTACCAGTCATCATTATCTTGAACAGCGGAAGGTATGGCTGTCAATGAATCACAACACATTTGATTTATCCAACAGCACCCCTCCCAGATAAACACACTTATTGAGAAGGTTTACATCTTTGCTGACTGCTGCTTTGGGTCACGGTTCTCATTTCCCACAACGCTTTGTGTCTGCTTACGTAGCAGGAAAGCAATAGCAAAACAGTTAACGTTTGTAATGCATACTAAAATTTTGCATGTACTGATTTATGTTACTTTACAATCCGAGCTCCTTTTAAAAAAAAGATAAAAAGTTTAAACGCTGGAGCTCAATACTTGACGTAATTGGTCGAAGCAATCGGCCAACGATGTTAGAGACTCAGAAATGATTTTTTTTTAAAGATGTTATGCTGATGAAGGCTGAAATCTAGTGGTCAACTGGAGCAACTACATGAAAACCTTTCAAATCCAAGCTCTTATTTGAAGGGAAGAGTTTCCTGTTCTCCGTGCTTTCGTTTCCCGTCACAAATCAAACCTATCATGTACCCTGAATGMATCGCTTCAGTTTTCCAATAAATAGTTTTAAAATTGCTTTACTGATGCTTCTTTAATGAAAAATCTACAACAAACAAAAGAAAAAAGACAAAGAAGCAGCCGAAATAGCAATCCTCAACAACTTTTTAATTTTTACACCGGGAGCTAAAGGTCTGTTTCAGGAAATCACATCCCCATCAATCGGCAAGTGTAGAATTAAGTTGAAAAAGAAATCATACACTGCTAGTTGGCAGTGTTGTACATATATTGTACATGAATTGTTGCCAGCTAGTAAGTATCAAATTGAACTTGTGCTTTAAAATTGGTGTCCGCAATTTTTTCTGTGGCATAAGCGCCTTTGATGTTACGGACCTAAATGTTTTCATAAGAGCTTTAGAAATTGCAGAGCTAAATTTTGTATTAGCACTGCCCACCACTGCTGGAAACATTAGCTTTTTCCCTAAGTTGACTGTGTAAAAAGTTACATCATTACACAAGTAATACTGGGTTTCTCAAATCCGCTGTAGTTACCATTCCAGGTCACTAGCTGGCGCTGTGGTTTTGTTAATACATTGACCCTCACATGCTACATCAAAAATGTTGAACACAAATGCTCATTTGAACTGAAGATTATGTTGGGCTATCTGCCTTTGTTAATGTTATTAAYCTACTTACATAAGTGCAGAAAAACCATTGACTGCAGCCGTTCCTAGTGCGCATGAACAATTTAACACCTTTGCTGGGTATTTACAAACACATCCTCTCTGAGCCATAGATTTAAAAAGCTTTGTTGCGTATACAAATGTCCGAACGCAGCAGAAATCCTTCAGTGTTGCACTTWACCACGGTGTTGTGTAAACAGGGCCTTTAAGTCTGACCAGCAAAATGCCTGGTTAAATCCTGCTAATCTAAGTGCAGACTATTCTGTGAAGCTGAAACTGGTGTTGTTGGGTTTCAATGAATTTAGCACACATACACCTGTTTCTCCAGTGGCAGAGTAGGGTCCACTCTCTCCCCCATCATCGTGGGGCTTTCCAACGGCAYTCGAAACTTTAATCCCCCTCCTGCTAGTGGGCTGGACCTGGGCCCAGGAGGACGCAACCGCTCCGTGGGTGATGACGAGCGATCCCAATCTGCRCCGTCAAACTGCACTGTTAGCAAGCAGGGACAGAAAAAAATGAGTCATGTTATTTACACAGCAATAAAACCCCAAAAARGATTAAACCTCTCAGTCAGACCTGGTGTAAACAAAAGATATCAGGCTATTGCAAAACCAATCAAGCAGTTGGAGAGGGAGGGGGGATTACTCAGGGAAAGGTCACACAGTGAGGACAGCGGGTCAGGAGTCTGACAACTGTATTGTCATTACAAACGCTGTCATCAAATGAGTCTGTTATAGAAAACAGAAAACAGGAAATGGCTGCTTTTGCTTGAATTTGATTCACATATTTACACTTATTAGTATACAATGAAGGATTATTTCCAGTTTCAAAACGTTAAGCCTTAATAAAACAGTACTGCACATACTTTAAAACCAACACAGCTGATATATATCATTACAGGGTGCTACAGGGAATGTGGTACAAAAAGTTTTCTAAGCCCCAACTCCTCACATTCAACAGTTGCTAAAGGCAGGGACAGATGCAGGTGCTGCAGATRTGGGGGTTAGAGCAGATGTCGACCAACGAGGTCACAAAGGTCGGGACAACTGCATGTGTTCGTGTTCGGGCAGATAATGGAAGGCAATGAGGGCGGAGGGGTGCAGAATGTTCCGGGTGAGAGGTCACCTTGCTCTCTGACGGGGGGCTGCTCCTCCAGCTGACCCACCGGGGCAGGCCAGGGCAACTTCGACAACTCCCTCATTTCTAATAAGAGCACAGGGGGGGAGCAAAGAGGAGGCGAGACAAAAAAAGAAAAGCAGCAAGAGAAGAGCAGATGGGCTTTTTACTGCAATAAACCAAATCGAAGTAGGTGAGAGATGAGGTGGTGGTGAAAAAGTGAGACTTCAGCTGAGGGATGGAAGGAGGAGGATTTTTAATGTCAGGTGGAGGGATCGAGCGAGACATGATAAAGAGCGAGAAGATGGAAGCAAAGAGAAAGCCCCCTCGGGAGTGGATGTAAGAGGCGGTACAGTTTGTGGGGAGATGACATGCATGTGGTGTCAGGAAATGTAAACTGTACCTCCTGTCACGAGGAGAGGCAATATCATCTAAATCTTGTCCCCTTGCTCTCACAAGTGAAAAAACAGTCTTAGTGTTTTAGGCTCAGTATTTGACCTCTTAAATCATTTGAGATAAGACAAACATAAAGTAAGAGGCTGGCCTATTAATCTGAACTTTACACTTTAAAAGGGACATATTATCCAAAATCCACCTATTTAGCCATTAATGCATTTTGTTTTGTACTTGGAGTGGATAAGAGTGCAGAAATTTTTATTTAGTTTSTCCTGGTACTGCAAAKGTATCTTAAATTCTGTTTGGGTCATTCATTTTCTATTATGCTTTCTGTAATAATATGTCAGAGAATTTGTGACAGAACTGCCAAGTGTGGTCTGGGCTTACCAACTAAAATTTTGTCATCCTTATGGTCAGACTCTGACTCCAACATGTGAGTATTTCCTTGATGACATATTTTAATTCATTTCTAAGTAAAAAGTTTTTGCGTGCTATACAGTCGTAAACCCCTCTATTAAGCTAGAATGAACCGCTCTGTCAGCTCGAGGGGGTGGGGTGTGAAGCATCTTGTTTGGATTTAAAGAGACAGCCTCAAAACGAGTTGATCTTAGACAGACCTCAGAAAAGGGGTGAATGAGGGGCTTGTGGAGTTACAATAAGGAGGAATTCAGACCAAAGCATTACAGTTCCACTTTGTAAAGACCCCAAACTGAATGATTTAAATGTGAAAAAGAAGGATTTAAATGGCATGATAGGTCTAGCAGATGCAACAAAAGCAACTTTAGACGTAATGCCACCCACATAACAGCATTACAGAAGAAATGAAATAAATAGAGGCATAAATAATGCTTCCTTTAACGTCCTACCTGCAGTTGGAARGTAACAAAAGGTGCACTGGGAGGCAAAACTGAAAATAGCTCATTATATACCTTGGCTGACTGCTGAAAAGCCTTTACCGCTGCCTCACATACATACACATGAGGACGCACACTATGCAGTATCACAATGTAAATTCAGCTCCTGTTCTCCGCAAAACTGGATTACAAAATAAATAAAAAGGAAAAGATGGGTGACATCCTAATGAGCCGACAAATCCAAAGATCCCCCAGGCCGGCGACATCAAAGGCCATTTAAACGGGCGTTTGGAGAAAGACCCAGGCTGTACATACATGCTTCTCCCCATTCCCTGGTTAATTATTGAGCAGGCAGACACACTCTGCCACTTTCTCTGGCTCTTTGTGAATTATTGATGCAAGGAGCAGTACAATGGCCCCATCTGGAGCGAGCCGCACCTCCGCCGATGCCAGGATTAAAGTGTGGCATGGCACTGCTCAATGGGAGACATGCACGCAAACAGGTCCGCACACATACACGTGGGCAAAAAAAAAAAAATACTCCAGAGACAACCCTCCGCAAAAAAAAAAAAAAAAAAAAAAAAAAAARAAAAARAAARAAAATCTAATCTAGCACCACTACCCAACTCCGCCGCCTGCCAGCTCACCACAACACATTTCACACCTCTACTTCTCGAGCACAACTGAGAGAGATGTGTGGAGAACGATTCAAATCAGAATGACACAAGAGCGAGCGTAGAGTTACAGGAAGGGAGAATGGTTGAGGAGAATAGACAGCAAAGACATTTTATTGCCAATTAAAAGTGTCTCCGTCATCAGAGTTAGAGATAAGCTCCAAGTGTTGGTGTGCAAAAGTTGGAAAAGGTTTTTTTTTCTCTTTTTTTGAAACCAAAATCCATTTCCATTTCTGTTGGTGTGGCAAGCAACATGTCAWTAAAGATTATTGATAGCTTGAAAACTTGTTCAAATGAGTCTGAACAGCACTGAGACTGAACGCTGTGTCTGAATAAACAATTGAAATAATGCAACTTTATCTTTAGTTCTGTTGTCAGTTTCCTTGATGAGAATAACTTGGGAACCAATGAACCAGGTGAACTCCTTGAAAACTGTGTTATCTGCAAAGCAAGACATGATGTACTTGGAAGGAAGATAACAGTTGTATAAAACATGAATATTAATGATTCAAGAATAGAGCTTTCTAGCTGATGCCAAGCCAACTCAACTGGACATAATCAGAAGAATTCTCTGATTATTTTCACACAAGCACTGCAGTTCTAAACATTTTCCTGAGATTAAATTGTTTAAGTAAACTGAACTTTCAGCCATCTTATTCAAATTGTCTCTGAATAAGGCCAAGTGTAAAAATAGCAGGCAATCCCTAGATTCAGAGAAGTGATGCTGATTGAGTTCAGAATATTGAAAACAACTGCTACTTTTTGTTCTTCTCTGTCCTCATTGATGTCCCAATTTACACACACTCAACAACAAAGAAAAGTCATATCTAAAAAAAGATTGTACAGAAAACAAAGTMAGATKTAAGTCGGTAAAGCTGTCTACATTGATTATTCACATGTTGGTAATGAGCCATTTTTAGAATATTCTGTTATTTAGGCATCTCAATACAGCTCACAAACCTGTTCCTTGTCCACCTTAATGGCTTTTATTAGCATACTTTTGGGTTTTTTCTTGAGAATTCACTTATTCATTAACAGAAAACTTGGAATATTTCCATCCACATGGATGAGAATAACTTCCTAATCATTTCAAATGACTGAAGTGTTTTTTAAAGGAATCTCAGACCACTTGCACATGTTGGTCTTAAAATGTTATTTCTCTATTCTACTAAAAGTTGTTGTTTTTGACACATGAAAACACTTAATTACCTTAAAAATTGTCTGTTTATTACAATTTTCACTTCAGCCCATCACAATATTGATACTGACGCAATGCATTTTGGAGACTAAAACACAAAGAGTCAAGGCTGAAAAGGTATAAACTGTGACAAATTTAATATTTGTAGTCTATGATCTGCTCAACATATGGGTTCAATGAATGTAACGGTGATGTTTAGTAAATTAGCTMGGGAGCGATTGTCATATATTTATACTGTATATATACATAATATGCTATATGATGCAATTATTAGCTCAGGAGCTAACACAAAAGCTATTGGGCTAAGCTGAGKTTCTCCTATGAAGCAGCTTTGTTGTCCTCCAGTCACATTTTCAGTTTCCAGCGGAGTTATTCCTACATTTTCTTCTCTGTTACAAAAGGACAACTGATATTTCGAACTTTTAAAAACTGTTATGGCCAGAGGTCTTTCGTCTATGTTTATACTAAAGCATGGAATGACATTCCTCAAAACATAAAGTCCATTTCAAAACTACAGCCCTTTAAGTCTTGTCTACCATCTGCTGGACACTTTTTGTTGTGCTCATATTTGGACGTCCGATTTTGCAAATGCTGCCTTTTTAAATTTGGTATGCTTGTTTGTCTTTGTGTCTATGGTGTAATAATAATGACGTGATTGTGATGCTGTAATTCTGAGTGTTTTATGTGCTGCAGAACAGGAACCTGCTGTACAACAGCAATTCTGCTGAGTCAGGCTTGATTTTTAGTAATCTTTTCCTGTTAAATATATAAATCAAATCAAATCAAATCAAATCTGTCAATGCACTCCAGTTTGATTTAAAAGGGCTGAATGTCAGACATTGTCCAGAATTAATGTTCAAGCTGGATAGAGCACCTAGTAGGCGTCATCATATCAGAATGCTCTGCAGCACAAATAACATGGTGACGTCCTTGTAACCTTGTTTTTTTTTACATTTATAAAACAGTGTAGTTAATTGACTGTAAACAGTGTTTTTACCGATTTGTTTTTAAAGTTGAAAAAAATGATCAGATAATMTCTAATGTTACAACTAGTCRGCGTTCCCTTTAACAYGACTAATATAGCAGWTGAGTTGCTCCGTGTTTTCTTATGTGAGGTAAAATTCAGACTGAACCTGTGACAGKCTTGTCTTTTTTCAGAAAACACTAAAAGCACACACCTTGTCTGAAACCTCACTTTGATTACAACGCACGAGCAGTGAGCGCACACACATGCAAATCACACACTCAGACCTTGTCACTCATGTGTTAGCAGAGAACATCTGGCTCACTCACTTCTAATGAGAACCTGTGGCTCTGTCATCTACGGAGGGTTTGCTTTGATTCTTTATATCCATGCATTTTATGTTCTCTGGAAAAACAACATGTCCAAAATAATGCACCTTCTCTAAAACAAAGAGGGACTTCTTTCTATTTGATGAAACAGGTGGCAGCAATTGGAAGGGGTATGCCAAAATGCTTTGCCCCTGGTGTCTCAACTACCTGCTAGTATTTAGTAGAAATTATCTGGGGGGGCGGGTAGGGAACATCCAAGCTGGGGTTTTCTTTGTGTTGCACAAATGACATATCATTTCAGGTGATAGATAGCTGCCTTTTCAGGTGCAGCAGCTGTTTTTGTTTGTCTACATAATTATGAAAAAGTAGACAAAGATGCTGAAACAACTACATTTTGTTGATTAATGACATTTTCGCCCACACAGCCTTGGTGTTGTGTATTTACTGTGCACACAAAGACCTACCGACAATTACAGAGAAATAATGTCTACTCTTTTAATGCTGTTACTTCACAGTCAAAGCCCTTCTCCATATTTTCTACATGCATTATTTTCTCCAAGATTTATTCCTCTGTGGATTGATGGTCTTTTCCACTGCTGAATATCCATGTTTTCCCATCACTGCCTCACTTACCACCCATCTGAGTGAAGCAGTAGCTCTCATTCAGTGTTT